TTCTGAGTTCAATTTCTGAGATTCTGATAGAAATATATGTAATATCTAATATAAGAGAAACAACAACAAACAAACGCGTGTATATTTCAAACCCCAGTTTCATTTCGTATTTATTATAAAATCAAATGCGCTACAAACATAAATGCATGTTTTGAGGAAAAAAAAACATATTTCACTAAATATTGCCATATATTTATATAATAACAAACCTTAAAAGACATCAACTTATTTTCGATTTAATAAATTACTTGTGGCCACATCAATCCCACCAGTAGCCGCCGCCACCACCACCTCCTTTACCGCCACCACCACCTCCTTTACCGCCACCACCACCAAATCCGCCACCTCCGAATCCACGTCCTCCACCACCACCACCACCCGAGGTCTGCAGGGAAAGAGGTGAGACAAGCAAGGCTAGAACAGTGCCTCCACCACCACTACCTCCACCACCCCCACCGTGGCCTTTTCCACCTCCAAAGCCCCCACCTCCACCACCGAAACCTCCTCCACCTCCGAAGCCACCTCCACCTCCGAAGCCTCCTCCACCTCCGAAGCCTCCTCCACCTCCACTACTTACACTAACTTGAACGGGTTGTGCCTGTTTATAGTAAATACAACAGTCAATGTAATCTACAACTAAATATAAATTTAAAACATTGGAATCCAGAGATTCTTCTTAACTTTGTAAAACTACAATTAGTTAAAAAATACCCGTTAAGAACCATATATACCTCTAAAATAATTATGTACACTTATTACTTTTAATAAATACGCATTTAATATATATTCCTTTTAAAATTTACCTGGATAGAGACGAAACCTCCAAGACCTCCGCCGCCACCACCACCACCACCACCGTGTCCTCCGCCACCACCACTAGATCCACCGTACCCTGTGGCTTCAGCCAGTAATGGGTCCTCCGCAGTAACTGAGGGGTCAGGAACGACAGGGTCAGCTAGCACCACTGTCGTTAAACACAGTGACAAAATAACAACAGTCTGTAAAAACAAAGGGTTATTTTTTAAAAAAAAAATTATATTATTACGAATCACAACTGGCATATGTTTCCAAAAAAACGTGTAAAAATGGAAGTGACATATAATCTGAAAATTTACCATTGGACATTAGTACTCATATAGTAGACAACTGTAATACGACTTCCTTGATAGATTCAAAAATTCTGTTGTTCGTTTAAATAATTTTTAAGTATTAAATTATTTGAATTAAATATATTAACCAAAACTTAAACGGAGAGAAATGCAATAATTTTACCTTTTTAATCATCTTATTCTTCTGTTGATGATGAGTTTCTGCTGTTCAGTCTTTCTCCTTGTTGTCGCTTATCCTCCTTCAGCCAAAAGATAAAGAGCCGATGCTACTTGTGATTTAGTAGCCAACACTACAGCTTTATATACTCATTGAAAGGAACAACTTTCATTTTTTCCGTTGAAATATGCACATTTAAAAAAAAACAAAAAACAACAACAACACGAAGTTTATGTACGGAAAAAAAGGTTAATAGTGACGCCTTCTGGTTGGTCATTTTTATTGAAATCATTATATTCGTTCTAGACATCTAAATATTGCCTCAAACATCATTGTTAACATTACACGTCAAAAGTGGTTGATATTATTTTCTTTTCTTAAATAGAACAACCTTTCCTATTCGTTAAAGTTGAAATGATGAAAGGAAGTGTAACTATTTAGGTAGAATTAACTAGAACAAGTTCCAAGTTGTTGTTTTTATACAACTTGTTATCTCTTATTTTTCATAATTTCTTCTCGCTCTGGAAGAAAGTTTAAACACATCATTAAACTCAAACATATCTTGGATAGGCTAAAATTCAGGTTTCGCAAGACTGAATACGAAACAATAAAGAAGGTATACAATTTGTTGTGAAAACGAAGTAATCCCGAGTTGGAAACATTTATAGTTTCACTCAAAGTGAATGTTAATGTATAAAGAGAAAATTCAATAAACAGAAACAGGAAAAGTATATCGATACTGATGACAGTTCCAAGGTGAACAAAGGTGAAGAGATTCTAGAAGATGGAAATACTTCTAGAAATTCATTACTTAGTATTAGCTTGATACAGGTAATATTTCTAGAGATTCATTACTTAGTACTGAATTGATACAGGTAATATTTCTAGAGATTCGTTATTTAGTATTAGTTTGATACAGGTAATATTTCTAGAGATTCATTACTTAGTATTAGCTTGATACAGGTAATATTTCTAGAGATTCATTATTTAGTATTAGCTTGATACAGGTAATATTTCTAGAGATTCATTACTTAGTATTAGCTTGATACAGGTAATATTTCTAGAGATTCATTACTTAGTATTAGCTTGATACAGGTAATATTTCTAGAAATTCGTTACTTAGTACTGACTTGATACAGGTAATATTTCTAGAGATTCATTACTTAGTACTGACTTGATACAGGTAATATTTCTAGAGATTCATTACTTAGTACTGACTTGATACAGGTAATATTTCTAGAGATTCATTACTTAGTATTAGCTTGATACAGGAATTATAAAGATCTTTATGATACCTCTTTACTCATCATTAAGAAGAATTGAGATTTTTTTCGAACAGCTGTCACCCGTGTATTTAATTGCGTTATTTTTAACCTGTTACGTGTATTTTTTCTATAACATCATCATCTAATTGTATACTTTACCATTAAATTTGTTTGAATATTAGACTGAAAAAGTGTATAATTAAACATCTCGTGGAAATTGTGCATTTGTTCCAAAACATTTCTTTTGAAGAAACGTGTAAATGTTTGGGAATAGTTTATCTAGACACGTTGTCCGCCCCAACGATCTAATTTCACCAGTCTTATATTCTTATCAAGTAATCAAAATTATCACTTATCTGCACTGTAAATAAACCCAGTATTTAAAAAAAAATCACATTATGATTTCAGAAATTCAAAGAATTTAGTATATTTTCATTGTATGAAGAATAAATAAGTTGTGGTATAGTTTTGGAAATATGTCCTGGAAGATATGTAATGAAGCAAATTACCAGAAACATAAATAACTACATTTATTCTAAAATGTTCCGTAATTAAACTACATATGTTTCCAATATTTTATGATACTTACAGAAAATAAAATATTACATTTTTGGTGTTATTTTATAACTCTAAAACAACGAGATTTTAGTTTTTTATTATCGGATATTAAGAAGGAAACAAAAATATGATATACAATAACACGATAAGTTTAACGTGGGGTCGAATATCCCCGGTTGAAGTGCTAGAACACAAAAAAGTATCTGAGTTCAATTATGAATTCCTTTTAATAAAATGTTTGTATTCAAAATACTGCATCAAAATCTAGAACCATAGAGATATACGGGCAAACATCATATTGTATAGACATTGAGATATACGGGCAAACATCATATTGTACAGACATTGGGATATACGAGCAAACATCACATTGTTTAGATATAGGGATATACGGGCAAACATCTTATTGTACAGACATTGGGGTATACAAGTAAACATTACATTGTACAGCTATAGGGATATACGGGCAAGCATCATATTGTACAGATATAGGGCAAGCATCACATTGTACAGACATTGGGGTATACAAGTAAACATTACATTGTACAGCTATAGAGATATACGGGCAAGCATCATATTGTACACACATATAGGGATATACGAGCAAACATCACATTGTACAGCTATAAGGATATACAAGTAAACATCACATTGTATAGCTATAAGAATATGGGATCGAACACCATATTGTACAGCGATAGTAGTTTTATTCACTTTCAGTGACACTAAGACAATGTATGGTACTTATTTTACGTAACCAAAGTCTCACAAGAGCGAGTTCGTATTTGAAGTTTTATCATCATATGAACAACCTCGAGTGATATCTCTCAAGCACTGAAATTATGGAACGTTTTTGTTTTGCGAATTATTTCGAGTAGGGTGTGGCCTAAAATAGAGCCGGGCCGTAAGCCCAAGGAATCACGTTTCACGCCTATTGAGTAAATCCAAGGAATCGCGTTTCACGCCTATTGACCACAAAAACGCACTCTGCACTTTGGGACCATTGATGCACTCTAAGAAAAACTGTCAAATCCCAGCATTCAGCCAGATAAACGTCGCTCAGGAGTATCATCAAGCTATTCTTTAGTTTATCAGTTCCAAATTAGGAACGGCTATTCGTAGCTAACCCTTGTTTAACGTTGTGAGAAAATTCTCGAACAAAGATAGAATAGAAAGAAACAAATTACTTTGTTGGTTTGTATTTAAAGATAAAGCTACACAATGGGCTATCTGCGATGTACCCCACCGCAGGTTGTTGATATGCGAAATACAATCGTTTCGAACAGGTGTAGTTCAGTATTATTCTTATAGTACACTCAGAACCTGACTTATCGACCAGAAATATCTCCATAATTAGTGGCGTTTGTTGAAACGAGTAGTAGAGTCGAGCTCTCATGTGACGTAAAAGGTCCAAACCTTGAATGAACTCAATAATTCACTATTATTTCCTAATGCAGTGTTCTGAACGTACGTTTCAGTAAACTAATTCCGTTAATTGGCCTTTGTGTTTCATGTCTGTGACACAGAGAATTGTTCAACTAAATTTAACATAACATGGAAATGTAAACTTCACAGCTTCAAGTCGTCAAAGGTTCAGCGGAAAGGCCACTGTTGCTATATTTAATCAAAACTTAAAGTTCGTGCTGCTTGTCGAAACAATCGTCCTGATTTGGGTTCAGATACCTTCTTAAATAGGCAGCGGATTTTTTTTCCTGTGATTAACATTTAAATGTTTTGTACGAGAAAAAAGTGTAATATATCATATAGTATAAAGTTTTGGCCTACTCAATTACTTATAGATCTTAAAAAATACCTTCACCCACTTTCGTTTTAAAATGTCTAGCTTTTTGAAGTAGCTTAAGTCCTACTGATAAAGAATGTCTATTTGAATTAACATATGTCCTATGTATAATGCCTGTTGGAAGTAGTACATGGCCTACAGATAAAGAATGTCTGTTAGAATTAGTAAGTGGCCTACAGATAAAGAATGTCTGTTAGAATTAGTACATGGCCTACAGATAAAGAATGTCTGTTAGAATTAGTACATGGCCTACAGATAAAGAATGTCTGTTAGTATTAGTACGTGGCCTACAGATAAAGAATGTCTGTTAGAATTAGTACATGGCCTACAGATAAAGAATGTCTGTTAGAATTAGTACATAGCCTACAGATAAAGAATGTCTGTTAGAATTAGTACATGGCCTACCGATAAAGAATATCTGTCCTAATAGGACATGACCTACATATAAAGAATATTTGTTCTAATAAGCACATGTCCTACATATAAATGTTATATGTTTGAAGTAGCGTATGCCCTACAGATAAATATTATCTGTTTAAAGTAATGCATGGTCTATGGGTAAAATAAATAAGATTTATGTGTCCGAAAACGACCATTTTGATGATTTATAAACTGTCACAATAGTTTTATTTTGAGGAATGTGATGTAATCATTGACCAATGGTCTCCTTCCTGTAGCTCAGAGGTAGGCCCTAGGGCTGGTAATGTTAAAATTAGGGGCTCGATTCCCGTGATTGACATAGAGCAGTTAATCTATTGTGCAGCTTTGCGCTTAACAACAAACAGAATATCTATCTTTGAAACGAGGCTTAACCAAATCATATCTGAGTCAGAATAAATCGGCTTTGAGATACTTGCATAATGTTTAGTAAGACAACCATCCACAATCTAACATATATGTATACATATAATGTCAGCTTTTCATCGTATAGCTTTTAGAGTTTAACCACTACGTAGAATGTAGATAAAAATATAAAATTATGTGACAGGATTTCATTTTCTTTCTGAGCGACAGTAAATTTATTACACAGGCCTACGATGGTTTTATTGTCTTGAAATCTTTACATGTTTTTTCAGTAATTCCTGTACGCTGAATCAGAAAATGATATCCATTTTTCTCCATCACGTACACATTTTTCACGAAACGTCATAACGCAATACATGAAAGAAAGACCACAACACGTAGTTTGGAGACCAAAAGACGTAGATTTCACACACACACACAAAATCAGGACGAACGAGGATCACCGTTCTTCCCTTTTCTTCAGTTTGTTTGTATTTTTGTTAACAAACATAATAATAAAGAATGTTCATTGTGATAAACGAAATATCAGTTTGATCTAAGTAAAAGTTTTTTATTCCCGATTTATAAAAAATCCTTACGTGATAAAAAAAAATAATATTATTATTTTCGAAATCTTCGTAGCTAAATTATGGTAAACCCGTTATTAAAACCAAAACAACTTTTATGAAGTTTAAATTCGTAGGCCTGTGTTACCATAGATGGGAAAAAGTCGTTTCCCTAATATACTGTCAAATTAAAAATTAACTCAAATTTACATTTTTTTTAAGCAAATTATGCTAGGAATTAAAGTTTAAGGGAAAAAAGCCGAATCATCAAACAGATGCGTTTCTTGGAATTAAAGTTTAAGGGAAAAAAAGCCGAATCTTCAAACAGATAAGTTCAATGAAGCGATCATTATAAGGAAACAAAATGAGTTCATCAAATTAAATGGAATTCTGTGACATACAAGAAACGCATCTGTTTGATGATTCGGCTTTTTTCCCTTAAACTTTAATTCCAAGAAACGCGCCTGTGAAAGACTTCGCTATGAACAACACAGTTTAGCATAACTCGAATACTGAGATGTCATTACTCGTACCTCATCTAGATAGATATCAGAAACCCGGCTCCTCGGTGGCTTATGCCACTAAAAATCGGGTTTCTGATATCTATCTAGAAGAGGTACGAGTAATGACATCTAAACATCTGGCTCCTCGGTGGCTTATTCCACTAAAAATCGTGTTTCGACACCCGTGGTGAGCAAAGAAGAGATTTCACATAATTTTTATGGAGCAAGGTCTGAACTAACTAGTGTGGTCCCAGATTTTCTCACACCTTCATACTCATCTATTTCGAAATGCAGTGGCGTTCCAATAGGGTAAATTACTCCATGATCCAAATGGGTCTACTAAACGTTATGCAAGTTTTATGTAAAAATTAATCATAATAAAGAAAACAACAACAATAATATTTGGGAGTGATAACAAATAGTTATAACTCAATAAGTTAGTTCAATAGTTAATAGATAAGCTTTTCATTCCTTTCTTGAAGTCATTCCGTAGCCCAACGGTAATTCTGAAGATTTATAACGCTAAAATTCGGATTTTGATATCGATGGTGGGATAAGTACACATAGCCCATAATGTAGCTTAACAACAAACAAACGTTTTTGGTGCCGTCGTTAGGCTAAATGATACGTCAAAAGAACTAATTTTTAAGAGTCACAGTAGTGGAGCCACAGTGACAGTCTGTTCATAAAAATAGCAATACATCGTCTGGCATCATGACAATAGTGAAATACAATGTCATACACATATTTGTAATTGAAAAAAATTGAATAACCTTCTCAAACACTATACTTATAGAAACAATGAAATAAAACTTAAAAAAGCACACAAATTACGTTACATTGTTCATTTTAACTCATAAACAGGGCATTTTTAAGTTTAGATATCTCCATTTTGACTCATAAAACGGGTACTTTTAGGCTTAGATATCTTTACCATTTGTACGTGGCATTGTTCATTTTGACTCATAAACGGGTACTTTTAGGCTTAGATATCTCCACCATTTTAAACTACAACATAATGTATTCAGGACGATGGTATCTAAAACAATCATCAAAATCTGAAGTGATCATCTCAATATCATTTCTTTGGAGAATACGTACAGAGACAAGTCGATTTTGAAGGAAAGGTAAGAGTTGGTAGTTTGCTCAATAAACATAGAACAGAAAAAAATCTAAATGAGTTATAAATTTGAAACAGAAGGTTTAACAATTTTCTCCGATGATGCTACGAACCAGAAACGAATGCTCCCGAATGTCTTAGCTTCTTTACCTTTTGTTTTCTTATAAGATACTTTAGATCTTGTAACCAATTACTATATGACATTTTGGATCTTGTAACAACTTCCTATGTGACATTTTAGATCTTGTAACAACTTCCTATGTGACATTTTGGATCTTGTAACAACTTTCTATGTGACATTTTAGATCTTGTAACAGCTTCCAATGTGACATTTTGGATCTTGTAACAACTTCCTATGTGACATTTTAGATCTTGTAACAACTTCCTATGTGACATTTTAGATCTTGTAACAACTTCCTATGTGACATTTTGGATCTTGTAACAACTTCCTATGTGACATTTTGGATCTTGTAACAACTTCCTATGTGACATTTTGGATCTTGTAACAACTTTCTATGTGACATTTTAGATCTTATAACAGCTTCCAATGTGACATTTTAGATCTTGTAACAACTTCCTATGTGACATTTTGGATCTTGTAACAACTTCCCATGTGACATTTTAGATCTTGTAACAACTTCCTATGTGACATTTTAGATCTTGTAACAACTTCCTATGTGACATTTTGGATTTTGTAAAAAACTTCCAATGTGAGATTTTGGATCTTGTAACAACTTCCTATGTGACATTTTAGATCTTGTAACAACTTCCAATGTGACATTTTGGATCTTGTAACAACTTCCTATGTGATATTTTAGGTCTTGTTGCTATTTTTATTACAAAAAAATAAGGAGACATTGTAATCATCTTTTCCCTGAACCATTTTCTACAGGAAACTTCAGTCGTTGTACTTTAGTCCATACGAAATTTTAAACCGTTCAACAACTTTCTATAAACAGATTACTGTTCTATAAGAACATAAGGCCTTCTAACTAATGTCTGTTGCTCTCCTGCGCAGATTTATGTTATCCCAATTGAGGTATAAAGAGGCGACCATTTTTAGGTTATATTTTGTTGTATCATACCAGTAAACAAATTACATTAACTCTAAATGATATGCATATTTATTATGACAATTTGATCTGTATCTCGGATCAGTTAATTTAATACTTTCTATGAAATGTGATTTAGTTCCTTTTCGTTGTTAACATCCATCTTTGTTTTTTATGCTGTAAAATGTTATCTTCTTGAAGATACGTTCAACATTCAATATTAAAAGCAACAAACACTGAATATCCTCCCTATGTAAGGATAAATTAATTACTAAGGTCATATTATTTAATCTTTACTTTCTTAAATAGTAAACACTTTTCTTTCTTTTTTTAGTGTCCCCCGCCCTCCCATTGGCTCAGCGGTAAGCTTCATAGCTTATAACCCTAAAATTTGGGGTTCGATCCCTGTGACGAACACAGCTGAAATCGAACAGTATGTAATTTTATGCTGACAAGTAATTAAATAATATTTCCTTATTCTTTTTTTTTCTTTCTCTCTCTCTTGTACACGCCAGAAGAGTGATGACCGACTCCATATAATTACCAGTGCATGAAAGCTTGGAACTAAGGAGAGAGAGACAGAGAAAATGTTTGACTACATATTCACTACATTTTGATAATAATGATAATTAAAAAATTTTGTAGCCATTTTTATATACTACAGATAAGAAACAGGCCTTTGAATCTTACTCGATTTTTTTTTTCTTTTCCCGTCCGAGCTCAAATTTAGGCCCCAAAATGCAGCTTTACATAATAACTATTTCTATACACTCATGAAGTGTCTTTTTTGTTTTCTCTACCTTTTCTGACATGTTGCTTCATTCTTTATCTATGTATATAAATATATATGCGTATCTCCGGGATAAACGAACACACTCAATTCCTGCATCTTAAAGAAACTTTTCCTTGTAATTATCTCCTGTTTTTGTGATAATGACACTCAAAATGGTAATAACACTGTTAATGGGTGAGTATCGTTAAAGATACTTCGTGCAAACATTAAGGGTACATCACAGCAAGCAAAGGCACAAAAAGGGCCCAAGTCGTGAAATTCAAAAGTTCAATGAATCTTAACGGTTTCATCATCTGAAAAAAAAAATCAAACACACACACACACACACACGCACAGAAAAAGTAGGC